GCAGCGCGAGCACGGCGTGAGTTACGAAAACACGATTTTTGAAATCAAACTGCTACGATCTTATCGAGGCAACATGCAGTATCATATTTCATATTAATATTAGCAAATTGGAAAGGAAATTAGTATTTTCGAGAAGGCGTGGACGAATGATCGCGAAAACACGTACTGCACGTTGTGAATAATAGCACCAAGTAGGGCCTACACGATAAAAATCCATTACTAGCCAATTGCGGTATCGAATCAGGATACAGGAAGAAAGTTTCCTATCCAGGGTTTACTATTGGAAACGCGGTTGGAAATAAAGTAAGCACTGGGGACGAGGTTGCGTTTACCGCGCTACGCCCGGATGAATAACAACTAGCGCCTCACATTTTGCTATATGTTTACACGGCATTGTAACATTTTACTGTGTGGAAATGGCAGCATTGAAATAACTGTGTCTACTACTACTACTACTACTGTTACTGAGCTCGTGATGCGGTATTGAGCTTCAAGTTCAATGTTCAAGTTGCCATATTTTTATAGACAGATTTCGTTCAAATAAGAACATCATTCGAACGGCTGATATTTAGCTGATAGGCAAAGCCGCATTTGGACTTTTGACATTCACAGGAAATTAAGGTAGGCCTTTTAATTTTAGTGATCCATAAATCATTTCAAATACATGTACTGTGAATTTGAGGAGGAAGGTCTGCACTGAGTATGCATATACATCATGAACATGGGGGCACATAATCACTGTCGAGCATGCAGTGAAGTGGACGGTCGGGCCGTTGATTACGAAAATCACTTGTGCATGTCAAGTTCACGAATTAAACCACATGGGGCCATAGGATCATGGGGGGGGGGGGGTGCGGGACTGAGGATTTTTGTATTCAGCAAAATTTGGACTTTCGGGTGTCCAACAATGTAGCCTATTCGACCTCTTCATTGCGTGTGTGTGGTCCCCACAACTGGTAATACCATTTCATGACTTCTAAAAATGAAACTATGGCTAGAAGCAAAGGTGTTTTGAATGGGTGAGGAGAAGGATAAGGAATCTTGCAGTTGTAACTGGAAAGAATAGGTGTGGCGTGTCCTAGTCTTGTACCCAGTTGAGTACATATAACAACTTGCGTTCAGAGACTGGCGACCATGCATCTTTACACGGGAACTTTTGAAACCAAATGATAAATTCAGGTATTATATATAAATACTATTAACATTATTAAGACCTACTGTGGAATATACCACTTCAAACGGATTCATCAATTCACGTTGAAAAGAGTTGCAGTACGGGCCTACCCCCGGAAGGTGCACCGCACCCGGTGTGTTAAGTTATGAAATGTTGACTCCGTAAAAGAAAATCAGCGTCCGGGCCTTGTCACGCATGTCGCAGTTTTTATACACTGGATAGGAAACAATGCAGCTATATAGGCTTTAAATGTTATATTAGGATAACCGTCCAATAGTCCTCAACGCAAACAGACATGATAAACATGCAGGTCCAAATTTCAGATCACACCCGAGTTCCATTTTAGTCTGTTACGTGACCGTCTCTCCGCGACGCGCCGTTCAGCCATGCACGGAATAAACATATTCCGTGAGGAGGATTTAAAGTCCTAATGTTTTGGTGCCGGGGGGAGTGGAGAGAGATTACGGCCAAAACGATCATCACCCCCACGATACCATTAGGATATGCACATAAAGTAGTGTACTCATACATCTGTATTCTGAAAAGGGCCACCTACTTTCCGCGCGCGACAATATCCAGACTCCCCCGTCCCCCTGGCTTATACCGACGACCGAGTTCAGGAATTGTCTTTTCATCATCATCATCATCCGGTGATAAAGCAATGAAAGGGGGAGTTCAAGCAAAAGGAGAAGGGGGAGGGGGAAAAGTGGGACAATGTAGAATGGACAATTCATTTTTGCCTTCTTTTCATTTGAAGCAACAAAAGTTTTCAAAATCTAAAGACGGATTAACAACTAACCCGGTGAAATTTTAGCTCTGTGAATTCTGTACATTTCGAGAAAACACACTATTCTCGATTTCAGTTAAAACAATTGCATGTCATATTTTGAATTGCGCCCTCTCGTGACTCAATCCCAAAAATCAGCATTAGGGACAGGGTTCTCATTTCTCTCAGGAAATGACTTTCTTTTATCGTTTTCTTCAAAATGACAGCGTGCCAGAAGAAATAATTTCACAGGGAGTTTATTGCCATTACTATCTTTAAACCATGTAGGCTTTTAACAATAATTTGGTTGATTACTTTTTGGATAGCTGCAAATGGTCCACTCTAAAGTGCCATGTAGTCAATGAAATAAGAACTGCCTTGAATACAGCTACGCGGTTTTATAGGACTATACAACTGCATGTACAGCATGCGCACTCGAAACATCGATTGATGTCCCCCACCCCTAGTAATAATCTGGATTTCTCAGTGAGCTAATACCATTCTCCAACTCATGGAAACAAATAGGCATGCCCCTGCTGTGACTTGTGATTGTGATTCCCGATCTATTTTTGTCATAATTTTCGTAGCTTCAAAGATGTACCGATTAGGCATCAAGGACCTTCTGCAGCGCTTCAGTGACGGCACCTTGACATGCGAGGCCTACACAAGACGAGTCATCCAACGAGCCCAGGACCTGAAAGTCTTCAACTACTTCGTCTCCATGAATACGGATCGGATGCTGAAGGATGCCCAGGAGGCAGATGCCAGGTACAGGAACAAGACCAACCGGCCTCTGGAAGGCATCCCGATCGCCATGAAGGATAACATCGACATCGAAGGCGAGCCAACCGAAGCAGGTACCCCTGGTCTCGCCGGCCTGAAGCCCAAACACACGGCCGAGGTCGCTCGGAGGTTGTTCGATGCCGGGGCCATCCACGCCGGTCGAGCTAACATGCACGAGCTGGCTTTGGGAATCTCAAGCTGCAACGCTCATAAAGGGCCGTGCCACAACTTCCACAATTTTGACTACACCTGCGGGGGAAGTAGCGGCGGCAGCGGAGGGGCGGTCTCTGCAGACATCGTCCCGGCTGCCCTGGGTACTGACACTCGTGGATCGATCCGGATACCCTCCTCGTACAACGGGGTCTTCGGTCTGCGACCGACCAGCGGTCGCTGGCCGGCTGATTACGGTGCCAAGTTGTCTCATGTGAGAGACTCAGTGGGTCCCCTTGTACGCAGCGCCGTGGATATCGCGATCCTCGACTGCGTCATGACGGGAGAGGAACCCCACGAGGAACTGAAACCGGGACAGATCAGGATCGGGGTGCCCCGACCTCAGTTCTGGGAAGGTCTAGACGCCGAAGTGGAGGAGTACGCAGAGCGGTTTTTGGTCATGCTGAAGGAGAAGAGCTTTGGGATTGTAGAGGTGCCAGAGATTCCCAGATCGAGGGAGTTGCCGGAAATATTCTTCACCATCAACCAAGAGATCATACCTCTGCTGGGGAGTATCTGAGCTACAACGGCCATGACGTCACCGTGCAAAGCATCATCGACAAGATCGCCTCCCCAGATGTAAAGGAACTGTTTCAATACGCGATGGAGAATCGTCCAACCGAGGAGGAATGCAAGAACGCAATGGCTACCAGGGAAGAGGCCAGGAAGAATTTGAAGACCTACTTCGAGGACCACCGCCTGGACTGCATCATTGTCCCGGCCAACAAGATCCCGCCGCCTACCTTACGCGCTTTCGAGGATCGAAATACCGAGCTCCGGAGGCTGATCACGCAGAATGTCGACTTCGGCAGCAACTGCAACAACCCTTCCCTCGTTATTCCCGGCGGGATTGCACAGCGTAGCGGTGTTCCCTTCGGCATGCAGATCGAGGGATACGCGGGCAGTGACAGGCGGGTGATCGCCGTGGCGGTAGCTATTGAGAAAGCGCTGAACTTGTAAACATTAAAACAACGAACTATCACGGGCCTTGGACTCAATATTAATGTCCTCATAAATATTTGGAAAACGTTTATGAAAATAGAGCCGGAACTGTACAGATTTTTAATTGGTGGAGGCCGGTTCATATATGTCTTGCGAATGCGAAGCGAATAGAGCCTGAATGTAAGCCCTTAATTTGAGCTTCCGGACCCTTCGCACGACCCCTCTATGAGCATTTTCCACCGGGGTGCCCTTGCTTTTGCTAACAATTGTGACAGAACGATTTCTAACCGTAATCACCCCAAGAAACAATAATGCTGGAAATGTATCTTGACTTTTCACAAGAATAAAATGATGAGAAGTCAGGTGCAGATGCACGGGTAAAAACGAATTGTACTGTCCGACCTTTCACATCCGGCATTTTCGTATCTATAGGTCCCCTTGTTCGAACACGTTTATTTTCACATTGCGTACTTGCGTGATTAGGTTTTGCTTGAATACAGTTCTCATTAACGGTCATTTTAGATTTGTTTGTAAATGATAGTGAGTCCCTCAAGTTTATTTTAAAAAAAAAACTATATGTCCTCCAAGACATTTTATTCTCAATCAGTGATCGCCACAAAATTATTTCATAACGTTCGGCGGTTGAACAGTGTTGGGTGTTAATTCTTACCTTATTCGGACACGATGGCTTCAGTTTCTTTCCAAAATTTGTTGTCACTAGCAAAATAGACTTTGATTTAATATTGCTGATCTTTACTGATTGAAATTAGACTGTCCACTGTCAAATTGGACTTCAGTCACTGTGGACTGCTTAAGTTTGAACAAGATATAGTTCATATATACGCAAGCATTTTATATTGCTGAAGTCATGGATGCTTATGGTCAGTATACAAGTACAAAGTCCACGAGCCAGGGTCCGACATCGGCACAGTGCATGGACCATTGACCAAATAAATTATATCTCATTGGGTATCTCTCAGATTTTCTCAGATGGCCGCACTCCTCCAAAATATTACAAACCTATAATGCGAGTCAACTTTTGATGTGATCCCTTGATGTACGCCTCTGGTCAATGGGGTCAGCTGGCTGGCTACCACTGATCGGCGTTATTTCAATTCACATGTCGAGGCATTCACCAGGTTTGCTTTTGTGATTAAACCATTGTGAAGGGTGTAGTTCCTAGATCTATAGCTCTACATTCACGCCGTTACTGAGCTCGTGATGCGGTATTGAGCCAAGTGTAGCCATTTTGCTACAGACAGATATTATCCCGAACGTTCAAATAACAATATCATTCGAGCTGCTGATAATTAGCTGATAGGCAAAGCTACATTTGGACTTTTGACATTCGCAAGAAATTAAGGTAGGCCGTTTAATTTTAGTGATCCATAAATCATTTTAAATACATGTACTGTGATTTTGAGAAGGAAGGTCTGCACTCTGTATGCCCACATCATAAATATGGGGGCACCCACATCATGAATATGGGGGCACATATTATTATTATTATTATTATTATTATTATTATTATTATTATTAATCATTTTTGGTAATGAAACCAATATAAACAGTCACTAAACAGGTAATATAAACAGTCACTCAGTGTCGAGCATGCAGTGAAGTGGATTTTGTCGGGCCCATGATTACGAAAATGTGCATGTCATTTTCACGAATAAAGTAAAACCACATGGGCCATAGGATTGGGGGGGGGGGGGGGGGGGGGGGGCGGGACTGAGGATTTGTGTTTATTCAGCAAAATTTGGACTTTCGGGTGTCCAACAATGTAGCCTATTTTGACCTCTTCATTGCGTGTGTGGTCCCCACAGCTGGTAGGCCTAATACCATTTCATGACCGTACTTCTAGAAATGAAACTATGGCTAGAAGCAAAGGTGTTTTGAATGGTTGAGGAGAAGGATCAGGAATCTTGCAGTTGTAAATGGAAAGAATAGGTGTGGCGTGTCCTAGTCTTGTACCCATCTCCATATAACAACTTGCGTTTAGAGACTGGCGACCATGCATCTTTACACGGGAACCTTTGAAACCAATGATTATTGTATAAATTTGGGTATTATATATGAATACTATTAACATTATTAAGACCTACTGCGGAATACCACTTCAAACGGATTCATCAATTCACGTTGAAAAGATTTGCAGTGCGGGCCTACCCTCGGAAGGTGCACCGCAGCCGGTGTGTTATGAAATGTTGACTCCGTAAAAGAAAATCAGCGTCCGGGCTTGTCACGCATGCCGCAATTTTTATACACAGGATAGGAAAATATTGGCTGGTGACAGGGCCTTCTCTGTTGCCGCCTCCCGGCTATGGAACAACCTGCCCATCTCCATCAGAAACTCAGGCAGTGTCTTTTCCTTCAAAAAGGCTCTCAAGACCTAACTTTTCCCCCAAACGTAGCTGCATGTCCTTTTTTGTTGTTTTTGTCTTCTATTCCTCTTTCTTCTTTTCCAGCGCTTTGTATCCTTTGGAAATTTGGCGCTATTCAAATCCAGTTATTATTATTATTATTATTAAAAGATGAAGCTAGGCTTAAATTGTTGTATTAGGATAACTGTCCAATTATAGTCCTCAACGCAAAGAGACATGATTAAACATGCAGGTCCAAATTCCATATCACACCCGAGTTCCATTTTAGTCTGTCACGTGACCGTCGCTCCGCGACGCGCCGTTCAGCCAGGCATGGAATTAACATATTCCATGAGGAAGATTATTTTAAAGGATGAATTGTCATTACTATCTTTAAACCATGTAGGCTTTTAACAATAATTATTTTGGTAGCTGCAAATAGTCCACTCTAAAGTGCCATGTAGTCAATGAAATAAGAACTGCCTTGAGTACAGCTACGCGGTTTTATATGACTACATGTATACAACTACATGTACAGCACTTGCAACATCGATTGATGTCCCCCACCCCTCATAATAATCTGGATTTCTCAGTAAGCTAATACCATTCTCCAACTCAAGGAAAAAAATAGACATGCCCCTGCTGTGACTTGTGATTGTGATTCCCGATCTATTCTTGTCATTATTTTCGTAGCCTCAAAGATGTACCGATTAGGCATTAAGGACCTTCTGCAGCAATTCAGTGATGGCTCCTTGACATGCGAGGCCTACACAAAACGAGTCATCCAACGAGCCCAGGACCTGAAAGTCTTCAACTACTTCGTCTCCATGAATACGGATCGGATGCTGAAGGATGCCCAGGAGGCAGATGCCAGGTACAAGAACAAGACCAACAGGCTTCTTGAAGGCATCCCGATCGCCATGAAGGATAACATCGACATCGAAGGCGAGCCGACCGAAGCAGGTACCCCTGGTCTCGCCGGCCTGAAGCCCAAACACACGGCCGAGGTCGCTCGGAGGTTGTTCGATGCCGGGGCCATCCACGCCGGTCGAGCTAACATGCACGAGCTGGCTTTCGGAGTATCGACCTACAATGGTCACACAGGGCCGTGCCACAACTTCCACAATTTTGACTACACCTGCGGGGGAAGTAGCGGCGGCAGCGGAGGGGCGGTCTCTGCTGACATCGTCCCGGCTGCTCTGGGTACCGACACTGGTGGGTCGATCCGGATACCCTCCTCGTACAACGGGGTCTTCGGTCTGCGACCGACCAGCGGTCGCTGGCCGGCTGATTACGGCGCCAAAATGTCTCATGTGAGAGACTCAGTGGGTCCCCTTGTACGCAGCGCTGTGGATATCGCGATCCTCGACGGCGTCATGACTGGAGAACAACCCCACGAGGAACTGAAACCAGGGCAGATCAGGATCGGGGTGCCCCGACCTCAGTTCTGGGAAGGTCTAGACGCCGAAGTGGAGGAGTACGCAGAGCGGTTTTTGGTCAGGCTGAGGGAGAAGGGCTTTGGGATTGTAGAGGTACCGGAGGTTCCCGGGTCGAGGGAGTTGCTGGAAAAATACTTTATGGTGACCATCAACCAAGAGGTTATACCTCGGCTGGAGGAGTATCTGAGCTACCACGGCCACAACGTCACAGCGCAAAGCGTCATCGACAAGATCGCCTCCCCAGATGTGAAGGGATACTTTGGATACGTACAGGAAAATACCCCGACCGAAGAGGAATACAAAAAGGCAATGGCTGCCAGGGAAGAGGCCAGGAAGAATCTGAAGACCTACTTCGAGGACCACCGCCTGGACTGCATCCTGGTCCCGGCCAACAAGATCCCGCCGCCTACCTTACGCGCCTTCGAAGATCGAAACAACGAGCTCTTGGGGCTCATCACGCAGAATGACGACTTTGGCAACATCTGCAACAACCCTTCGCTGGTTATTCCCGGAGGGTTTGCGCGGCGTAGCGGTGTTCCCTTCGGCATGCAGATCGAGGGATACACAGGCAGTGACAGGCGGGTGATCGCCGTGGCGGTAGCTATTGAGAAAGCGCTGAACTTGTAAACATTCAAACAGCGAACTATCACGTGCCGTGGACTCAAAATTAATGTCCGCATAAACATGTGTGAAAATATTTTTGAAAATAGGGCCGGAATGGTAGAGGCCGGTTTATATGTCATGCGAATGCGAAGCGAATAGAGCCTGATAGACCGGCAGCATTTTGTCTATGGGCTTCCAGACCCGCGCGAGGGCCCTCGCGCGACCCGCCTTTTGGCATTTTAATTTTTTTCTCTCCATTGATTTCAATATTGCAAATCTAGTTATTACAATCTTTAGAAAGTACATAGATAACAATCGCAAATGATATACACAACATTAATTAATATATTTAAGAACCATAGGTTATAATAATATGGTGTTATCATTTTGAATATACTTAATTATATACATATATAAGTGTAAACAGCAGTAGGCATATTAATTAAATAAATATATACAGATTAAGTCATAAAATGTTGCCAAAAGTCTTTGTTTTTCTTTTGTAACTTTGCCCTAAATAATAGCTCTGTAATGAACACATAAAAAATATTGATCCTTTTATATTCTATACTCATTTTGATTCGTGCTTTATGTAATGAAAGCATTGCTATCGTAATTATTAAATTAACCTCAGGTCTTCAATCAAAACCTGTAAATAGGTTTGACAATGTCGGTGTGTGGTTTGCCATCTCCCTTTGTTTCTTTGTTCTCTCATCCACCCTCCCCTGCATCTTTCCACACCTTTCCCACCTAATCCTCCTTTTGTGTTTCTTCTTTCAGCCCTGCATGTTTGTGTGCACCCCCATGTTAATGTATGTACCTCTGTCATTTCTGTTTTAGCCTCTGAAGAAGAACTTGCTAAGTGCGCAACGTCAGGCCACATGAATTTTTAGATTTAAAACTACTTTTTGGTTTTTTCTTAATAGTAAACCTTTAATTGATTCCAGAATTCAATTGTTTGTAAACAGGTTAAGAATGCGTGTTTAAAGTCGTCAGTCGTGTCACACATTGAGCATAACGGACTATTCTCAATTTTCCATTTATACAATAAATCTTTCGATGCTATTAGACGATGCATGAGTCTGTAATTGAAGTTTCTCAACTTTATTTCTTTAATGTCGACTATTTTCTTTTTCCATGTGGAAGTCCAATAAATCTTTTCACCAAGTACGTTTTCCCACCACGATTCAACCTGAGGTGTTTTACTTCTTTCGTCTATCAATTCATTATAAATATTTCTAGTTGTAATGTATTCTAGATTACCTAGACTAGGATAAACATGAAGTTTAATATCAACACCGATCTTTTCTTTACTGTCTACTATCATTGATATTCTTTTGGTAAGGCTCTTTTTAACATGAATATTTCGACTAACCAATTCCGTTTTGTGGTCAACTTTGTTTTAAGATAGTTCATAGAAAAACCGCCCCCATCTTCATTAAACAGATCATTTACATAAATAATGTTAGATTTTATCCAACTACGGAAAATAGAATTTTACATATCATGTTGTGGATGTAGTTCCTGCCAACACAGAATTACATGTAGTTCTTTGTAAAATTGTGGTAACCACTGTGTTATATTTGACCCATATTTCTTTCCCCAAATACTTGGCCTCCGAAAATCAATTTGGGTGTGTGTGTGTGTGTGTGTGTGGGGGGGGGGGGGGGGGGGGGGGGGGGGGGGGGGATGAAGGGGGTGGGGGTGGGGGGGGGTGGATGAAGGGGGGGGGGGCTCGTAACATACTTTCATTGGGTGCGCTGTTCAAATCCGACGATTGTTTTCATTGTATTACAGAATAGAGTACACCCCCCCCCCCCCCCCCCCCCAGCTAAGCTGCCTCTGTTCGTATTTTGAGCACAGGTGGACATGATGAGCAGTATAATATTTCGGGGTTTCAGAGAAGTGGTGGGGGTTTCGCATTATTTGTAAGGAAATCGTATGAAAAGTTGCTTTTATTTTTGACAGAGCGGGGGGGGGGGGGCTGACCCACAAACCACCTCTCGATTATTATCCAATAGGCACCGCAGGCAGTGCACCTAGGACCTACCAAAAAATTCGGCGGCCCGGCCGAATAGTTATATAGGGGGCCAGCAAAAATACCGCCCAGTGTGCCATAATACACATACATAGGCCAATCCATACAAGTGTGTTAAACACCTTAAATCGCGGACTGGGCCTCCTATTGTCCCTCTTTTGTTTGTACTTTTTAGAAGATGTTTTGTACACGATCGTCAGTTATTGTGGACATTTGAGAATTGTTGACCCTCTGATGTCCATATTGATCAGCGTCCCCCATTGAAAGCAAACCCACACACCCACACGCAGAGTAAAGTTTTTAATAAGTTTTAGGGTCTCTCTCAGAACTTTCGATTTCACCAACTGACGCCGTACAGGATGTAGACATACATGTACATGTAGGCCCTATATCTATAACATTAAAGGGAAGATACAACATTTGCAAACATCAAAAAACGAAATGATCAAATTATCACGAAATACCTTACTGGATTGTTAGGGAATTACAGTCTAAAGCATCATGTAAAATTGTGGCTCCTGCATGGTGTGCTGCGGACATTTTCTAGAAAAGTTGTATTTTTCCAACGCTGGTCGGCCGACCAGCGTTGGAAAAAACTGGCTAATTTTCAAAAACTGCTCATAATTTTTCATATTTAATTATTCCCCATTTGCTTTGCAATTGATTACACACCTGTGAAGGGGTACAAGCCTGCCAGACTGATTCCCTGACCTTACAATTCCCCTAAGTCTACAAATTGCTCCATTTCATCTTAGTGGGGTCAGGGAACCAGACTACAAAAACATGATTGGTTTTCTTGGTTTTTCCAGCATCTACATGCCCAAAACGTGAAACAAGTCAGTTAAACAATATTTGCTATAACATTCTAATCCTCCAAATCCATTTATTTCTGAAAATTGCAGCAAAAGCAAATGTTGTACATTCCCTTTAACGTATAAAGTCTGTTGTGCCAACTGGGGCGTCGATTGGTGGGGACGGGGGAAATGTTAACTAGCTAGCTATTTTGTCCCCGAAAAAAAGGCCACCTACATTATGATTAGTCTAGAGCTCAGAAGTAGCCGATTTAATGACTCCAAACCCGAAAGTGGTGTTTAAATGATGATCTTTGCTAAAACAAATTGGTTAAAGTGATCACAAATTGCCTCATGATATCGCACCACAGAGGTTTTTTTCGGGGCCCTTTAAGCGTGCCTTGAACCCCACTTCGTTTAGATTTCGCACTCGCATTAGTTCATGGTGACTGTCAGTGTCATTCAAAAGGCGTTCCGCCGGAATTGGAATAAACACCAAATCGCAAACCAGGGTTTTCTAAAAAAAAAATTGAATTCTTGAGGGCGCTATCACATTACTGTACAACAACGCGTTAATACTAGAAAAATGTACAAAACGAGTTTTTCACTGTGCCAAAAAGTTAGCAAAATCACTGATATCTTTAAGTGATATTGTATTAAGCGACTGAATGGCGTTCAGGGTGAGTGTTCTCGAATTGTGTTATTTGTTCAAACTTTAATAGTACAGATTCAATAGTTTTTGTAGTTTGATGATAATTCTGCGTAGGCTACACGTACATGTACAATGTACATGTACAATGTACATGTACATGTACATTGTACTATGTACATTGTACGTGTACAACACGTGCTACGTGTTGTATTAATACATGTAACGCACTAAGGTCAGAGGTCAAATAGTCCATTTTCGAGTATAATTTAAATCACTGTTTTCATGTTTTCAAGTTACGATTTAAGCGTTTAATGACAGAGTTAATGAATATGCATGAGCTAAGGTCAACATGTTCTGGAGTGATCGACTTGAGTTGATAACTGTTTTTGCTGGATTATTTTTGATTTCAATGTTTTTATTGTAGATTTATAGGTGAATTTAGTATGAGAATTGTCACTTAGCCTTCATTTCAGGATCGCCTTCATGTACTGGACTGTATAACCATGGAGGAATAAGAATAACTGAACTGAACTGAACTGAACTGCACTGCACTGATGTGGAAATGAGTGTTTACTGAACTGCTGTAGTTGTATCCGGTCACAGTAGTAAGTTTGATTTGTCCGTTTGAAATGTGAGCTTTTTGAAAGGTTTCTGAACTTTGTTTTCTAAACTGCATTGTTGCATTTGATTCAAGTGTTTGCGCTGTAACAATTTTTCTGGTAACTTTTGAACCGAATAAAAACAACGTCACAAAATAAAGAAAAATGTTTGGGATCATTCGTTAGATAATTGAATTTGATTTTTTTTTCTCATAAATTACGAGACTTCTGTACACCTCCAGAGGGAAGTCCTGAATACATACTATAATAGGCCTACAACCACTTCAAACGGATTAATTAATTAGTGTCGAAAATTGCTCTGCGCTGGTGTAGTGGTGTGAAATTTTGACTCCGCTGAAAAAAATGGACTCATCAGTTTGGCCATGTCACGCATGTCATACACAGGAAAAAACAACACTAGTTGAGTCCTGTAGTAACCACGCATCCAACTTTATAGTCCTGAATGCAAAGAGACTTAATTTGAAACATGGATGTCAAAATTCCTTAGAAACAAATAGGCACGCCCTTGCTGTCACTTGTTACTGTGATTCCTGATCTATTTTTGTCATTACTTTCTTTAGCCTCAAAGATGTACCGATTAGGCATCAACGACCTTCTGCAGCTCTTCAGTGATGGCACCTTAACATGCGAGGTCTACACAAGACGAGTCATCCAACGAGCCCAGGACCTGAAAGTCTTCAACTACTTCGTCTCTATGAACAAGGATCGGATGCTGAAGGATGCCCAGGAGGCAGATGCCAGGTACAGGAACAAGACCAACCGGCCTCTGGAAGGCATCCCGATCGCCATGAAGGATAACATTGACATCGAAGGTGAGCCGACCGAAGCAGGTACCCCTGGTCTCGCCGGCCTGAAGCCCAAACACACGGCCGAGGTCGCTCGGAGGTTGTTTGATGCTGGGGCCATCCACGCAGGTCGAGCTAACATGCATGAGCTGGCTTTTGGAATCTCAAGCCGCAACGATCATAAAGGGCCGTGCCACAACTTCCACAATTTTGACTACACCTGCGGGGGAAGTAGTGGTGGTAGTGGCGGGGCAGTCTCTGCTGACATCGTCCCGGCTGCCCTGGGTACTGACACTGGTGGGTCGATCCGGATACCCTCCTCATACTGCGGGGTCTTCGGTCTACGACCGACCAGTGGTCGCTGGCCGGCTGATTACGGCGTCAAGATGTCTCATGTGAGAGACTCAGTGGGTCCTCTGGTACGCAGCGCTGTGGATATCGCGATCCTCGATGGCGTCATGACGGGAGAAGAACCCCACGAAGAATTGAAACCGGGACAGATCAGAATCGGGGTGCCCCGGCCTTCCTTCTGGGAAGGTCTAGACGCTGAAGTGGAGGAGTATGCAGAGCGTTTTTTGGTCAGGCTGAAGGAGAAAGGCTTTGGGATTGTAGAGGTGCCGGAGGTTCCTGGGTCGAGGGAGTTGCTGGAGAAATATGTCCGGGCGACCGTTTACAAAGAGATGATACCTCGACTGGAGGGGTATCTGAGCTACCATGGCCATGACGTCACTGCACAAAGCGTCATCGACA